GCAAGAGCGCCGAGTGGCTGCAGGAGGAGCTGGAGGCGCGCGGTGGCGCGTCCCTGCTGCTGCTAGACTGCCGGCCGCACGAGCTCTTCGAGTCGTCGCACATCGAGACGGCCATCAACCTGGCCATCCCGGGCCTCATGCTGCGCCGCCTGCGCAAGGGCAACCTGCCCATCCGCTCCATCATCCCCAACCACGCCGACAAGGAGCGCTTCGCCACGCGCTGCAAGGCAGCCACCGTGCTGCTGTACGACGAGGCCACGGCCGAGTGGCAGCCAGAGCCCGGCGCCCCCGCCTCCGTGCTTGGCCTGCTCCTGCAGAAGCTGCGCGACGACGGCTGCCAGGCCTACTACCTCCAAGGTGAGGGACGCGTCCAGACCCCCTGTGGGAGTGAGGCTCCCCCGCAGGCTCCCGAGCGCCCCAGCGGTAGGCTGTCCTCTGCGCTCAATCCGCCAGGCCGGACGCCACGTCGCCCCTGGCCCGTGTCCGCCCTCCCCACAGCAAGGGTTCAGGCAGGCGCTGGGGGCCGTTCTAGGCACGATTCAAGTGGGTGGGACAAACTTCTCCTGGCCTGGCGTGTTCTTTTTTCCCTGTTGGTGGGCGACAGCAGCGCCCATGTTCCGCTGAGCCCCGCCAGAGAGGCAGAGGCTGCCTTCTGGAACCCAGTCATCGCAGGGCCCCAGCGGAACCAGGAATTCATGTCCTGGGAAGGCCAGGGTTGGGAAGGGCACCTCTCATAGGACCATCCGCCCTCCTTTACTTGGGGACCCTTTATTTTGAGGTCTCTGAGATCCCTACATGGCCCGTCATCTGGGAATTGCTGCCCCTTTGGAGAGGTTGCAGGCGGCATCCGTTGCCCTGGCCAGGTCTCCCAGGGTCCTCAAAACCCCAGCCTGGTGCCCCAGAGCGTACTGAAGCAGGAGGCAGGGGCGGGTGGGGGGAGTTGAGTGGCTGCAGCCCGTGTTTCCAATTAACATTCCAAAATGGCCTCTGGCTGGCAGTGGGACGGCAGCAGGGAAGGGGAGGCCGGCAGCACCCTCGGGCGCAGGCCCATGCCTAGCTGCAAGCCGCTCCCTGTCTTTGCTGTCCCTGCCTAACCCCGGCGGCCCTTCCCTGTGCAGTCCCGGTGCAGGGGGTCTTAGGTTCTGAGGGAGTGTCCCAGAGAAATGGGCCAGGGGGCCCTCTGACAAACTTGCCTCTGCTGGAGGGAAGACCAAGCAGTAGGTTCACACCACGCTCCCCAACGGGCTTTCGGGGTGGGCAGTCCATACTCTGGCAGGGGGCGGAGGCCCTCTCTGCCTCTGGCTGGCCCAGATGGCCCCTAGGGTCTCATCTGTAGCAGGGGTTGGCAGACCCACAGGTGCTGGCCTGAGCAGGGTTGTGTCTTCCTCTCCCCCTCACTTGCTGAGCACTGCTGGATGCTAACATGGGCAAGGGAGCCGCAGGAGAGGAACGCGCTGGGCCTGTCTTCAAGGCCTCTGACGCTGGTAGTGTGGCTGGGGCGCTGCAGTGTTCCACGTGAGGGTTCAGAGCTCAGCCTTAGTCTCTCCCCTGTGAAGTGGGCATAGTTTAGATGCAGACAGCGAATGAGAGGGTTCACAGGTAGCATCCTAGGGGAGCCGCGTCGACCGTAAGGCTGGCATGGGGACCTCGGCACTGGTGGTACGTGCGGCCCCTTTGGACGCTAATCGGTGTCTCACCCCGGCCACAGGTGGTTTCAACAAGTTCCAGACCGAGTACTCGGAGCATTGTGAGACCAACGTGGACAGCTCCTCCTCACCAAGTGACTCGCCACCCACCTCGGTGCTGGGCCTGGGGGGCCTGCGCATCAGCTCTGACTGCTCCGACGGCGAGTCAGACCGAGAGCTGCCCAGCAGCGCCACCGAGTCAGATGGCAGCCCTGTGCCGCCCAGCCAGCCAGCCTTCCCTGTCCAGATTCTGCCCTACCTCTACCTCGGCTGTGCCAAGGACTCCACCAACTTGGATGTGCTCGGCAAGTACGGCATCAAATACATCCTCAACGTTACCCCCAACCTGCCCAACGCCTTCGAGCACGGTGGCGAGTTCACCTACAAGCAGATCCCCATCTCTGACCACTGGAGCCAGAATCTCTCCCAGTTCTTCCCCGAGGCCATCAGCTTCATTGGTAGGTGGTACTGGGAGCTGGGCAGGGTGAGTGGGCGGGTGGGTGGGCACATCAAGGTGTACGCAGGATTCTGGGTGTCGCCCCTGCCTAACTGGGAACCTCTGGGCCTGTTGAGACCTGTGTGTGCCCTGCGTGTGCCAGCGTGTGCCTGTGGGTGGACCTATGCCTGCTGTGACTCACCGGGCCCCGCAGGCCCCTCCACCTGTCCAGACCTGAGCAGTCCCCCGAGTCCTGGGCTCTGTGCTGTCCAGTTCAGGTTTCCCTGGCTTTGCCGTCGTTTCAGGCTGAGCAAGCGGAAACCCCACAGTTCACAGACTCCCACAAGCCTCGCTTGGCCTGTGTCACGCCTCAGCATGTGTCTGACCAGGAGGGGGCTGTCACGGTGCCTCTTTGGGCCTTCCTGTGTGCCGAGAGGACCAAAAGGCAGCCTTGGAGCCAGAGACTCATCCAGACAGGCAGCTGCTGGGGTGTGGCTCCCCAGAGGGCCTCTGCAGGACCCAGGTGGTCTTAGCAGCCTATGGCATTAGCTGAGAGTAACGGGGCCGTGCAGAGAAGGTGGTAGGGGCCTGAGAAAGGCCTTCGCACCCAGCCTCAGCGGATTTGGGTTTTTCTTTTGCCTCCTCCTCTGCTAGTTGAAGGCTGTCAGAGTGCAGGTCATCTCCTGGCCTTGGGTCTCACCTAGACTGTGAGGAAGAGACACAGGCTCATGGTGAACGTAAGACTTGTACTCTGAGCCTGTGACCCGGTGTTTCTGCCAGCCTCTGCGGCAGAACGGGGGTGGCCTGGGCAGTCGTTTCCCAGCGGCAGCTGGCTGTGTCCAGTGGAGGGCGTCTGGTGTCAGCTGGGCCGGGCTAGCTTTAATAACAGGAAGTGGGAGGCTTCCTCACCCCATCCGCTTACTGGGACCCAAAAGTAGGTGCCTGGCCGGCAGGGAGGAAGGAAGCTAAGGCCTGGAGGAGGGAGCTGGCCCGGTGCTGCCTGGAGCCCCGCCTGCCCGGGGACACTTCCAAGTGGGCTGTGGGTGCTGCTCCACGTTCCCGTGTCTCCGCCAAGGGCAGGGAGTGGAGAGGGGACCCCAGGTCCCCCAGGGCTGACCCTGGGTTGTGGTGTTTTATCCCTTGAAGATTCCTCCACCTGTGGTGAGGGAAAGGGGGAGAGAATAGGATACGGACAGAGATTGAGAGGAACCTTTTTCCCTGTTTAACAAGTGAAGGAATTGAAGCCCTAGAGTTCCATAGGATTCAGTGGAACAGGGTCAAGCCAGGCCCTAAAAGGACTCAAAAGAAGGCCAGCAGAAAAAGTTCCACTCTGGGCCCCCTTGGAGTGGGGGGCAGGCTTAGGGCCAGGCGGTCCCCACACCCTGGTGCCACCACTGGCATCTTCTTTCTGCCACCCCCTTCTCGTGTCCCAGATCTCAAGGTCAGACCACAAGGCTTCACGTGGAGCCTCAGCATCTCTCTCCTCCCGTGCTGGTCCTGCCTCCCGTGTCACAGCCAGGGGTCTCCTGTCACTTTCTGATAGTGATTTAAGCACCTACTGTGTGCTTAATCCTGGATCCCCTCCAGTGAGTGGAGATGGGAGAGGAAGCTCTGTCACCCCGAGGCAGTAGAGAACAGTCTGTGAGCCTGTGTGTCGTCTTGTGGAAGAGCACGGACGTGGGGCTGACTTTGTGCCTGGCTTCCAGCAGGTTTGGACTTGGGGAAGTGGCAGCTGCAAAGAACCCAGACGGCTCGCTAGTCTGTGTCCCCAGTGTGGCTGTGGCACAGAAGAGGGAGCTGCTGTGTGGTTCAGAGGAAGAGATCACAGGCCTGCGTGGCCAGATGTGCAGTTGGTTTTCCTGGCCAGGCCCTATTGGCTGTGGTGGGAGATGTCACCAGCACATGGGCCACTGAGTTCAGTGTGGCCCCCAGTTAAGCAGACCCTACTTGAGAAGACCTAGACATGCCTACAACCCGAGTCCCCTGGCCTTCAGGAGCTGGCGCTTAGGCCTTGGGGACTAGCTGGGCAGAGCACAGAGCTGAGTGCAGAGCTCTCCACTTCCTTCCAGGGGAGCTTCTTGCAGATTGCTTCCCAGGAGGCTCTGGGAGGGCCCGTGGGAGCCACACCAGGAGGACAAACAGCCCCCACTCTGGTCACAGCCTGGCCGCACCTCTGTGTGGCCTTGGGCTTATAGCTTTGTCTCTGTACCTGTTTCCATTTTGATAAAATAGTGTACTGGCTGTGGTGCTGGTGACCCTCCAGGGTGTGGGTGACACCCTCAGTACCAGTTTTAGCAAGTGCAGGATGAGCAGTGATCACAGCAGCTTGTGACAGCGGTGCATGTCTGCCGACCCCTCTCTTGGCTCTGGTTCTCATGAGAGCACTGTAAAGACATAGGCTCAGGTGAGGGGCGGAAGAGGACACAGGACACGGGTGTGCAGGGACTTGGAGCAGAAGCGTGCTCTGACCCTGTCCACGGCACGGTGTTGCCGCCTGCCCATGCTGGCCAGGTTCTTCACGAGTCAGACGGCCACAGCTGGCCTCTAGGCAGTGCGTGGGGCCCAGCCTCACTGCTGTGGCCCTCCTGCCACCTGTTTGGGAAGGCTCCATGCAGATGGCACCTCCCTGACCCTTGCCTGTGTGTTTCAGATGAGGCCCGCTCCAAGAAGTGTGGTGTCCTGGTGCACTGCCTGGCGGGCATCAGCCGCTCAGTGACGGTCACTGTGGCCTACCTGATGCAGAAGATGAACCTGTCACTCAACGACGCCTATGACTTCGTCAAGAGGAAAAAGTCCAACATCTCCCCCAACTTCAACTTCATGGGGCAGCTGCTGGACTTCGAGCGGACGCTGGGGCTGAGCAGCCCATGTGACAACCACGCGCCCAGTGAGCAGCTCTACTTCTCCACGCCCACCAACCGCAACCTGTTCCCCCTCAACACACTCGAGTCCACGTGAGGCCGGGTCCTCAGGGCCTGGAGGAGGCCTGGCCTGCTGCCCTTGGCTGAGGAGCCCACACCGTCGCCTGGGCCTGGGGGCCAGGCTGAGCTGCACCAAGCTCCCCCACTGTCCAGTGGGACAGGGCCCACGGGCAGGACCTCCTCAGGGAGAGGCCTGGGATCACAGATGTGTGGACTGGGGAGCCGGCAGGCCTCAGCTTTTCCCCAGGACACCCTTTCTGCTGATGGCCCAGCCTGTCCAGCTATTTTTAAAGACATCCATGAACCTGAGTTTACTTTTTACTTTTGGCAGGTAAATCCAAGCTCCTCGGAGCTCAGAGTGTATTCAAGCTCTTCTCGATTTTTCTTTTTTTAACAAAAAGTGTTATTTTCAGGCTACATGCAACAGTGGATGGTATAAACCAGTGTTTCATGTCTTTCTTGATCCTGAGAGAGAGAGAAGTGTTCTCAGTTTTGTTTTTCTTCCTATTTCCAAAAGCAGTTATTGGTGTATTTTGTTTTTGTTCTTAATGGAAAAGACAAACCCCGTGTTGATCTTGACCAAATGCATTTTGCACACGTGTGAAGCCTCTGTTTCTCCACCTGGCCCTCTGGAAGGGGCAGCTGCTGTGCTCCAGGAGTCAGGGCCCTGTGGTGCCATCCCCCGCGTGGGCCGGCCCTGTGTGGCACTGCATCACCTGTGCCGACTGTTGTAAGTGTGCTCAGTGGGCTGGACCGGTGGTCTTTGCGTTGCTTGTCCTCTTCCCTGCCCATCCAGCGGTCCTGCAGACCTGCCTGAGGCAGAAGATGGGGGTCCTGCATCTGCTGTGCTGGGGTGCGGCACGGGGCTGCCAAGCAGTAGCGCTGGCCTCTCGGGCTCAGCGCCTCGGAGGCTGGAGCCTGGGCTCTTTTCTAAACCCACCGTGACTTCTGTTTCTGTCCCCTCTCTAGCTGGGAGTGAAGGCCAGCGTCTGGGGAAAACTTGGGTGGTGGGGCCCAGCCTGCCTCCCAGATCCTTTCACTTTCCCTGGCTGAAGCTTTGGTCACCCACAGCTTCCAGGCAGACCCCTGGTCCCCGTGGAAGCCTGCCCCACTCACATCTTGCCATGCCTTCTGCTACCAGGAAACCCCATCTGTGCTAACCCTAGGGCAGGGGCAGATGGGGCCGTGGTGGGAAGTGGGAGGGGCATGAGGCTCTATCCACCCCAGCATCCGCAGAGCAAAGCCACGGATTCCGTTAGCCTCCTCCAGTTTTGTTCCTTCTCCAGTCTCAGTTCCACCCAGGTGTTGGGGCTGCCCAGGAGCCAGGAAGGGGTCAGCTGTGGAGCCGGTGTCCCTGATGGAGCCAGCACTCAGCATGCGAGCACGGCCACGGAAACTCTGCCCCCGCTGCATCTTACCTCACGGTGGTTTTCAGGGATTTTTGGGGGCAGCGGATTAAAATCTTGCCACAGTCAAGAGATTGACAAAAAGCTTCCATGCTGTACATGGTTCTCTTTCTCTCTCTTTATTTTTCAAAAAAGAAAAACCCAGAAAGATGTGTCTGAGTTGTGTACATGATATGCCAGAGGGTGGCCAGTTTTGCTTTATGAGCTTATGAAGGAAAATTTGTGACCCTACATATACACACACACACATACACGCACACACACATACATATATATATATATATATATCTCCCAAACCAGCAACAGGACTTTGTTTATATTGCAAATAAATATTATTTTTTCTTTAAAATGAGTTCTGGTGTTTGGTAAGGGCAGCGGGCCTGGGGCATTGATGTGGGGCACTGGTTCCATGAGGCGTGGCCTGGACCTCCCTTTTGTCTGCTAGGTACTTGTATAGACAAGCCGGAGGTGCCCCCGAGGTGGGAGCACCCCGGCTTCCATCTGTAGAGCTGGACCAGCACACAGACAGACAGTGGGCGCCGTTCACATGAGCCTGGGGAGCTCGTTATGTTCATGTGCTGCTTAGGGCCTCAGTTTGCAAGGAGGCATCAGCCCTGCTCGGGCCTGCATCACCAAGGCTTCCACAGGCAGGGTGTGGGCAGAGAGAGGCCCAGGCTGCAGCCAGGGGCAGGGAAAGACCTGAGGATGGTGGCCGTGGCTGTGGGGAGGAAGGGGCACTCCCAGGGGCCTCAACCCTGTTTCCAGTAGGGTGGATGTGAAGTTCCAAGCAGGGTATGCCTCCCTGGCTGCGTCAGGTGAGCCCCAAGCAGGGACTTAGGAGGCCTGGGTGCCAACTCAGTTCCCCCACTTCTGCTTCCAACAGCTGTGTCCCTTCAGCAGGCTGTGTGATCAGGCCCGGGTGGCCCCAGGTAGGAGGTGGTCAGCAGGGTGGGCAGGCTGAGAGCAACACGGCCCTTCCGGTCTTTCCCATCGGGTTGCCCTGGCTGTGCCTTCCCCGACCCTGTCCCCTCGCCACCCGCAGTCACACAGGGCCAGGACACAGTCACTGCCTTCACGGCCTGGCCTGTGACGGGCAGAGGCCGGGTTCCGCCAACCGTGGGCCCTGGGTTCCAGTCGCAGCCGTGTGAGTGCTGGCCCTGTGTCTCCCACTTAGTTCTCTGGGCTCCTGAATGGAGAAACCGTGTTGCTCCGCAGCGGGCTTGCACCGTGGGGTGAGGGGAAGAAGGGCTCTCAGTGCTGGCAAGGGTGGGTGTTGCCCTCGCTCTCAGGCTCCCTCAGGGCCCTGGTCCTTCTGTGCCAGGGGCAGGCAAGGGGGTGGGGGCTTGAGCAGGCAGAGACTGCGCCTTTGTTCCTTCTGCTGCCCTCACCCAGGGCTGGGGAAGCCCGCGGGTGCTGGGCTGGGGGCTGGGCCCTCAACGGGCCAAGTAAGTGCCTGGCAGTGCCAGCGTGCCCAAGTACAGGACCGGATGGGGCAGCAGTCACCTCCTGAACTGACTCCTGAAACAGGCCTGGGGGTCAGGGAGTACACGAGGGACCAACCCCACAGCTTTCCTTGCACGCAGTTGTAGGCCATGTGGCCTCTCTGACCCTCAGGGCCATCTCTGGAAATCCCCACCTCAGCACTGTGCCTGGCTAGGGCTCCTGACAGGAAACAGGGACCCAGGCTGTGACCAGGTGGCAGGGTCCTGGTCCTTACTCTGCAACGTGAGGGTAGGCCATGCTGCCCTGGGCCACTTCCCACACCCCGGGTCCCAGGGGTGTCCCATAACCCCACCAGCCTTGGCCTGGCCCTGGCTGGGCCCTTGACGCCAGCACCCTCTGAGCCTTGAACACCTCGCTCCCTGGGGCTGCTTGGTCTCTCTTAAGCTGTGCTGCTCGTCCTGACCAGCTGCCCGCCCCCTGGGTCTCTGTTTCTGTCTCCGTCTCAGCCCTGGCCCCAGGCACCCAGCTGCTGCTTAGCTGCTTCTCAGCCACTTCCTGGGAGGCAGATCCAAGCCCTTAGTCACCTGCACATTCATCCAGCAGCCACTTCCTGTGCCACTGGGCAGACCTGGGAGTGGGAACATGGCCCAGGGACAGTTTAGTGATGTCAGACTGGGTGGCAGGGTAATAGGGCCCTCGACTTGTCCTCTGATAAATGAATCAGGTGCACCAGCAAGAGTGACTAAGCCTGGACACCAGGAAGAACTTGTAGCCCTGTGGAGTGGTCACTTTGAAGAGATCTGACCAGGAGACAGCAAAGAATGAGCACACTGTAGGGCGGTCCTGCTCTGCGCATCGAGAGGGGCTTATCCCGCTGCTGCCCCCACTGGGCCGCCCCACTGTGAAGGTATGGGCAGGGTGGGGGCAGGCAGCAAGCCTGTGCTGGAATCTGCCCCCTCCCTGTGCTGGAGTCCAGCATCAGGCCGCCTCTGCATCAGGAAGGATGTGTCTGGAGCACCAGTGCCCACACCAAACCCTCCGCAGAAGCCCCAGGGCCTGTGTGGGAGCCAGGCTTCTCCGGAGGGAGCGCAGGGACAGCCAGGCTCTGATCTTTGACAGCTTTCTCCTGTGTGTTCTGTATTCCATGGGACACAGCCTCCTTGTCTCCTCCCAGAGGCCTCCTAGGACTGCTCCACCTGACACCAGGGACCCTGGGATGGCTCGGAAGTGTCCTGCCCTGAAGTGTCACAGAATGAGTCAGTCAAGGGAGAACCCAGTCCCCTTGGTCCCTGCTTCCCTGAGTCTTTTCACCAGGTCCGCCTCCTCCATCAGGCTTAAGCCCTCCGGCCCTGGGACAGACACACACACTCACACATGTGGTGCACACAGCCTCTCATTCGTCAGACTGAGCAAGTCCAAGCAGGTCCCGTAGGGCTGAGGTGCTGCCTGCCTCGACTCTAGCTCCCTCTCCGGGTGTGTCCTGGGTGAAGTCATCCCTGCGTGCGCACAGCCATTGAAGACCATCCGTCACTGGAGGCGCCATGGCCGCGACACAGGACTCGGGTCCCAGCGGGGTCCCCGGGCTGTGCACCTCCACAGTGCAGTGTCCGCCTGTGACGTCCCGTGCCCCTTCACGCTGCCTCTTCGTCTGGCCCAAGTGCTGCCTGCAAAGGAGAAAGAGGCTGCAGTGCCCTTCCACACCGGCAGGGGCTGGGGAGGAGCCTCCTCGAGGGGCAGGGGCCCCTGAGGTCTTCAAGCCCATGGCGGCTGGGGGTGACTGTCACAATCAGAAGCCCTAGGTGCTGAGTGGAGGACAAGTGTGAGGGTCAGCACACAGCAAGGAGGCAGGGACAGTTGTTCTGGGTAGGTCGGGAGGGCCAGACCATGTGGCTGCAGAGGAGATGCTCAGAAAAAGACCCATCTATCTGCAGAACCATGGGCCCACGGGTGGCCAGCACCAGGATGCAGCCAGCTTACTTGCCTGTGGCCGTGGTCTGAATGCCAGTCACCGTCCCATGAAGAAGGATGGGCCTGCTGGGTGTGGGGGCACACGCCTGTAATCCCAGCACTCATGAAGCTGAAGCAGGAGGATCATTAGGAGTTCAAAGCACGTCTGGGCTACACAGTGAGTTCAAGGTCAGCCTGAACTATAACGTGAGACCCTGCCTCAAAGAAAAAAAAAAAAAAAAGGTGAGTCTTAGCCAGGGGATGTGCTGGTGCCAGTCCCAACCCCACTCCCTGGGGGAACGTGCCCCAGCTCCCGCACAGCCCGGCCTGCAGCCCCTGGAAGAGCAGGCTGGGTACTATGCCCCTCCCTGGTGGTGTGGCCCTCTGGCGGTCTTGCGTCTCACTTGTCCCTCTGGCACCATGGGCAGGGCATCTAGGTGTGGTATCTCCTGCATCTCAGACCTTTTCCCTTGGGCCTCATGCCCAGAAGTGGCATTTCTGGGGCAAACATCTGGGCTCCATTTTTCTGAACCGCCTTCCAAAGAGAAAGCAGGACTGTTTGTCTTTCACATGGGACTATTACTGTTACTGATTTAGAGAGGACGAGTGTTGACTACGCCAGGCACACGCACTGGGCTCAGCCATGTGTTGGGGGCCGTCTGTCCTCAGCTCGAGCCCCGGCCTGGGCTGGCTGCCCTCCTGGCTGGGCCTGCCTGGGAGCTGTGCTGACCTGGTCCTCTGCAGCTCTAAGGACAGCAAGACTAGTGCCAGTAATAGCCACAGCATGGCCGCGCTCTGGGCTGGGGCGTCCTGCAGGCTTCTTGATAAGCTCATGTCATCCCCAGGTGCCAGGGAGGGCAAGGGGGAGGCTGGGACACAGCAGCGAAGACCAGCGTCAGGAAGGGCTGCGCTGGGGTCTGGACACAGGTCTGCTGACCGGGGAGGCTCTGCTCTCAGCTACCCCAGCCTGAGATTTCAAGGGGCCTTGGGGCCTTTGTGTCCTTCCTAACCCTAGCATGACCTGGCCTCCCAACCTTGCCCACTCAGGAGAGCAGCGCCTGGTGGCAAGGGACCGGAGCCACGTTGAGGAAGGCAGTGCCGTCTGTGTGCTACCTGGGCAGGGAATGGGAGGCCGAGGGAAGAGCGAGGGAAGCTGAGGAGGAGTGTGGAGCCTGGTGTCCTGAGGTGTGCATGCCGGAGGGCCTAGAGGCCGAGATGTCCAGGCACTGCAGCCTGCAGGCCTCTCAGAAAAGACGGCAAGTTCCAGGGACGATGCACCGATGCACGTCTGCAACTCCTGCCTCCAGGCTCCCAGTGCTGCCTCCTCCCCCGGAATGCCTGTCACCCTCTACTCCCCTCCAGCGGCTCCCTCTGCCTCCTTTCCCCGAGCCTGGCTCCATTCCTCCCCTCCAGCAAACCGCCTCTCACCGTGTCCCCCCGGCAGCTCTCGCGCTCTCTCCGAGCTGCCTCAGCCCCTGTGTAGCCGCCCCTGGAGACCCCGCTAGCCTAGCGCTGGATCCAGCAGCCCCTCTAGCTGAATATCCTGGGCACCTGCCCTGCTGGGGGCCTTAGGCCTGTGTAGCCTATGCACACAGAGGTACATAGGAGCACGCACTTCACGCTGCCCCCCATCTGTCCCAGCATCGCTGCTTCCGCCTGCCCAGGCCTTTGGTGGTACCGGGGAGGTGAGACTAGGCACCTCTGCGCCTGCCTCACTGGCTTAGTGCCCACCCTATCGCTGCCCACCCCCTTGGCAGGTTCCAGCCAGAGAAGGGTCTGGCCATTCCTGTTTGGAAAGATCCGCCACCACCGCAGCTAAGTGGAGGGGTCTGGAGGCCACGCTAATTGATTAATTATACTCTCTTGTTAATTAGCTTTGTCTCTCCAGGGAAAAAAATTCTAGAGTAGAGCCAGAGCTTCCTGTGGGCGGGGGGCTTCACAAGCTTTGGTCAGACTGAGCCTGATGCCAGCTGCTGCTGGGGGCAGTGGAGAGCCCAGGAGGAGTGCTCTGGGCCCCGGAGCCAGCCAGGCCACCTGGGATGGGGAGAAGGGGCCTCTAGCTTGGGCCTCAACAGCTCCTCCTGAGCGCGCCGGCCCCAAGCCCCAAGCCAGAGGCAGTTTGACCCAGCGGGAGCAGGAGGGGCTCAGGAGCACGGGGAGAGGCTGAACCTGAGAGGACAGAGCAGTCTGCAGGGGTGTCTGTTCCGGCACAGGGCTGCGGGGCGGGCAGGGACCCAGGTAGGACTCCCACCCAGCTGCTGTGTGCAGGGGGGCCTTGAAGGCCAGCCGAAGAGCTGGAACTTTCCCTGAGCATGGTGGGCTGCGGCCAGTTTGAGGCTTTGGCATAACCTGGTCAGGTCTGGATTTTGGAAAGGTGCGGGGGCAGTTGCTCAGGGGAGGAGACTGGAGGGACGGGAGAGGGGTGGAGACGGGAAGAGGGAGCTCCGGGTGTCCGGAGAGATGGACATCCACCATGTCTGGGGACGCCTGGCACCTGTAGATTAGCTCCTGCTGTTCTACAGACGCCGAGGACGGAGGGCCACCCAGTTCCCTGCTCGAGGGCCTTTTCCTTGGTCTCCCAGGTGGGGGTTAGGAGAGGATATTCCTGAGGCCGCCACCTTGGGATGTAAATGTCACTCACATGCTTCTTGCTCCGGGACAAGCCCCTTCTTCAGCCTCCGAGCTCTCCGGGGCACCCGCAGGGGTCCTGCCTACTGGGGTTCACTAGGCGTGAAGGCAGAGCAGCCCCCGCACGGGGTGAGTGCCTCATCCAGGACCTACAACGGCAGGATCCAGATTGGAGCAGCTCGGCGGGGGCCCCGGCAGAGCTGCACCTGTGCCCAGGCTGGCAGAGGGGAGGAGAGCCAGGCCATCGGTGGGGGACAGAGAGCCCAGGACACCCGGAGCAGCCGCAGGCAGCAGGCGGGGCTGCAGTCTTGGCATGAAGCCTGCCCTGGGCTGGCCCTCCAGCTCCCTGAGTGGCTGCCCAAGTGGGAACAATGACCCTTTCACGTCACGCCTCCTCAGTCACAGCAACTTTGGCGCCGCCGGACAAAGGGGCCATTTCATCATTGTTGGATTGGATCAACAGCCCGCCCGCCCGCCCGAGCCCCGCTGCCCCCACACAGCCTGCGCCTGGAGGGGGGGCCAGCTGCCTGGCCTGGCCAGACCCAGGACCTTCTCCCCGCCTGGTCCAGCGGCACCATCCCGGAGACCCACTCGCTGTCCTCACCATCCCTGTCTGGCTCACCTGGCCTGGTACGATGACGCCAGGCTCAGCTCCTGAGCTGCGATGTCCCCACAGGTGGGAAGGGCTGAGGCGGAAAGGCTGTCAGGCGTCACCCAAGGCAGCACCCTGAGGTCGCAAACCTTCCACCTGTGCGCTCTGCCCCCAGCCAGCCCTGGGCTCCGTCCCAAGGGGTAGGGAGGCCAGAGGAAGCCCGGCCTTCTGCTCCCAGCGACCTTTCTTAATGTGCACGAGACCACAGCCAGCTCTGCGCACATCTGGGCTAGCCTCAGCCCTCTGTGGGTGCCTGGCTGTAAGAGGCCCGGAGAACCAGGACTCTATCCCGCGCCCACCCAGCCCTGCCTCCTGTCTCCTTTGGTTGGGGCAGGGGTCAGAGACCATGAGCCCCACGCTTCCTTCCTCCTTTGTTTGGCCGGGGTTTGTCAAGGGTTTGAAGAGGGATAGGAGACCTCTTACTACTCTTAGGGAACAGGTCACAGTGTAGGCACCGACACAGAAGCTGTACCTACCACTCGCTGTGGCCAGGGCTGGTCAGATAAAAGACCCTGGGGCCCAAGCCATATCCTCGGAGGCAGAGACTGGGTGATGGCCTCCTGGGGGAGCCCTGCAAACCGCAGCAGTCATGGCGCCCCCAGACAGATGGGTCTGGGGCTCACTCTGGGGGCCTCTGCACGGCATTAGCCAGTCAGGCAGACGATTCTGGAGAGAGCCCTGCAGCCTGGCGTCCTGACTGAGGGCTCAGGCTCTACCTTGGTGGGCTTTCTCAAACCCAGGGGCTCGAGAGTGGAGCCCCTGATACAAGGGAGAGAGGAAGAGGGGTATGTGGGTTCCAAGGTCTCCCCCACTTTGCCGACGAGAACCTCAAGCTCAGAGGTAAGGTGGTCAGCTACGCCCCGTGGGGGGTGAGTGGGAGAGCAGAGAGAGCAGCCAGGTCAGGACGGAGCTGGTCACCGTTGGCCCCCAGCCGCAGGGTGGCCCCCGGCTGCTAGGCAGTTGGCTGGGGTGGAGGGCAGACATGGTGTGTGTGGGTGTGGGAAACCTGCAGGGCAGGGCCTGCTCTGTAGTTCCTACAGCTGCCCGTCCCTGCACTGTGGTCGCTGCCAGGCCCGGCGGCGTTGCACACGTTGCCCATTTGCCCTGCTTCACTTCCTCTGACTAAGACTAAAGAATCACCCCTTTGGGGGAGTGGAGCCTGGCACCCGTCAGCAGGAAATGCCCAGCCCAGCCCTCCCAGAGCCTGCCTGCCCTGGCACCCTCATTTGGGCTCTTGGCCAGGACTCCCAGGAACACATGTGTGGGGGTGCACCGCCCCGGCTGCAGGGTATTGGGCTCATCCTGGGGGTGGAAGCAGGCGCCCTCCCGCCCAAGTCTGGCCAAGGCCCCTCTCTCAGCTGCGAATCTTTTCCTTTTTCAGCTACTAATCTTGCTGACACCCTAGCTTTAGAGTCCTTGGGACCTACAGCCTCCCCCAGTCTAATCAAGGCCAGGACTCTGGGTGCCGCTAAGGGTCCAGGCCCCAGCACAAGGGCAAGGCCTGGGCTCTGAGCAGTTTCAACCACCTTCAATTTCAAGATCGCCCCTGGTGTCTGTGTAGGGAGCAGAGAGGTCGGGGCTGCTTCGAGACGGCTGGGGAGAAGCGAGAGCCTGACTAACGCCCTGAGGCTGCCCCTTCTGGCCCTGCCCTAAGCACAGGAGCTACTGAGGCCTGAGGGAGAGGTGGACCGGCCCAGAGCTCCTCAGCAGGCCGCGAGGCTCTGGGTTCTGGCTCCGGCTCGGTCCCGCACTGCTCACAGGCCTGCGGCTAGGTTCCTGCCCCTTTTGGGCCTCAGTCTCCCCTGAAAGTGCACACTGGCTGGACCTGGGTTCAGACACTCTGGGACAACCCACCAGCAGCTAAGGGCAGC